AATCTTGGGCTTGCCTCAAGAGACTCAATATCCGAAATGATCATACCTTTGTTTGAATGATAACAATCCGCTACCAATGCCTCCTTGCCCTGGCAATATCAGCAGATTTGGGAACTGATCTTTTCAATGCACCGTCCCCATGCCCAAACGTCAGACCAAAACTGTGCCTGATTTCCTTTACCTACTCTAAGTGAAGTAGGAATAAGGAACTCGCTTTAATCCTCTCCAACCATCCCTCATACACCGGTGCATGAAGCTCCCCCCAACCTTAGCGATCCAAACTGCCTTTTCAAGACCAAAATTTGCAACCACTACTTTATACCCACGAGATGTCCATTTTTCGACGGGGAAGCGCCGAAGGCATTTGTTAGAAAGAGCCTAATCGAATAACAAGAGAACTTAATGGCTACTCCACTGCAACAAAAAGGTTGCTTGATTGCTTTCAATTCACCAAATGGAACTTGCAAACCTCCTTGGTCTTGTTAGGAGTAATTAAATATTAAACCACGCCTTCATCTAACAACTTAAGCTTTTTGGAACACGGTTGGCGATGAATTGGCCCCACCAAATCTCACGGGTATCAAAGTTTTGAGGTCACGAGTTCTAAATCTTTCGAGGCCCCATTTGTCTCTCCGGTTAAATATGTCCATGCTTAATACTAGACCAAAAGACCAAACTAAGCGTGAGGGTGAATGATAGAGTAATTAAATATTAAATCACGCCTTCCATCCAACAAACTTAAGTTTTTGGAACAGGTTGACGGTGGTCCCACCAAATCTCACAAGTGCCTTAACCCACAAAAAAAAATTATTTGAATGGCTTAACCTTTTAGCTACCAAGAGGGATGGGAAAAGGAGGCGTGATAAATAGGAAGGTTGAAGTGAGTACTTTCAATAAGAGTAAGCCCCCACTTTGGACAGGAAGATCTTTTCCACCAAACAATTTCTTCTCAAGTTCTCAAACAGCTCCAACATACGATTTCTCTTGAAAGTAGCGCGAATGGAGACCAAAGTAGGTGATTGAGAAGAACCTGGCTGACAATGGACAACCAAAGATGACAAAGTGTCGTTCATTCCTTCACCTTGTCAAATATGCTTGCTTTTACTTAGATTGATGTTAAGCACGAAATTCCCACAAAACCCAATAGTACACTTCTCTAATAAAGCAACTGCTGAACATCATCTTCACAGACAATGATGATATCTTCTGCAAGATGACATAGAAAAGTCATTTCCATCCTACAACTGTCCACTTAAAGCCAAAAAACCAACCCCAACTCAGATAGTTTCCGCTGCATTTTGCTAAGTACCTCCATCACCAGGATAAACATCTAGGGGGATAAAGGGTCACCTTGTCTATGACCCGAGAAGATTTAAAACAACCGGTTAAGCAACCATTAACTAGAACAGGAAAATCTTTAGGAATGAAATACATGGTTTTATCCAATTGCACCACATCTCCCCAAGCCCATCTTTCTTCAAAACAAACAAAAGGCAATCCTGCAAAACATGGTCATAATCCTTCTCCATATCAAGATTGCAAAAACACCTTTCTTCTTCGCCCTAAGCTAGAATACACTAATTTATTTGCAAACCAAAGCTGCATCTAGAATTTGTCTCCTTCAAAAATAAGGGATTTGAGGACCCACCACATTACCGATAACACATTTTTAATCTTGTTGCAAGTACCTAAGAAAGAATTTTATTACACTGGTCACTAAACTAATAGGGTGGACATCCATGATGTTAAGTGCACTACTTCTTTTTAGGGAAGAAGGCAATAAAAGTAACATTTAAACTACAAACATATGATGGGCAGAAAGTCCTATTGACTTCGACTTATCATGACAGTGCATGCATAAAAGACAAATTAGAGGAAACGGTGAGCAAAGGCATAAAAGTTACACTATACCCAGATATTCTTAAATGTGATGCAAGTTAACAGGTATATAAGAGATGGCTCTAGATGATTTATGTAATTACCTTTGCTATCAAAGGATCCTTCAACTCAGCAACAATTGAATAGTTCACACTGTCAGCATCGCTGCAAATAGGTAACAATTTGTAAGCAAGACACCTACAACCATAAGGACCTCACTATGTTTGCTCCTTACACCAACATATAGTTTCTTACATTGCATCTGGAAGCTCATCCTTCACTAGCAAACCCTCTTTTACAAGCTCCTCTAGAGATATCAGGGAGTGTGTTACCACAATTAGCATCCTGTCAACCACAATGGAACTCTCCTTAAATGCATCCACAGGACTGCATGCCCGGTGGGGCTCAATTCAGTTTTTATAAGGATGAAGTCCTGTTGGTGTAAGTTTTCAAATTCCACTATGACAAAAGCTAATCATGCAAACTGAATTAAAGAGTCAAAGGCCAATCATCATTCCCACAATATAACAACCACTCAGCAAGGGACAGTAAACTGTCCGTTGCTGACTGCTTGCGGCATAAACTCTCTCTCAGAAAGGCCAATTCACAAAGTTATTCAAACAACGAAAAGAAAGAAATCGCACGACTAACAAAACAATAGCGAAAGGAAGTTATGTCACCTGGCCAGAATAAGGAGACCCCCCCTTCATAAGGTTTCCTCGCAGGGGGGACGAGAGGGAGAACCTGAAAAGTGCAAAAGAAACGAAACCATTTGGATTTAACACCAATAGAATATTTCAGACAAACAGTACTGATTGAAAAATTCCACAAGATCAGTCCTGAAAGACATAGAAGACAGTAAAAACATAGTAAAGACTGTAACAGAACATCTAGCCTATGCCCCGGTCAATTCTAGCAAAGAAAACCCACATGCAGTCACAAAGCAAGTAAATTTTAATGCTCATACCAACCTAGGATTGCCAAAGTTACAAAACATAGAATCATGAGCTGAATTCCTCAGCCTCACCGACACAAAACGCAAAGCTCGGTCCACACCAACCTGCCAGACGGAGCAACCGGAGGCGTGCAGCCAGTCCAGGAAGCGGAACGCCTCCTCGCCGAGGTCCCCAATCCCGTACGGGCCCCGGAACGACGTCGGGTGGAGGAGAACCCCGGCGCGCCTCCGCTCGCCCGGGTCGGCCTCGGGGAACCGCTCGCCGTAGTCGGCCGGCAAGTCCTCGCCGACGGCGGCGCCCCCTCGCGGGGAGCGGCGCGCCACTTCCGGAGGGCCCGGCCCCAGGCCGGTGGCCGCGGGTCGCGGGCGAAGGTCGGCGAGGCCGCGCACATGGAGGGGGATGAGGAGGAGCCGCGTAGAGTGTGAGCGAGGGAGGAGGAGGAGGAGGAGGAGGAGGAGGAGAGAGAGGTGGAGATCGCCATGGAAGTAAAGTAGAGAGAGAGAGAGAGAAAGTGGTGGAAGGAAGAAGGAAGAAGAAGAGGAGGAGGAGGAGGAGAAGAGGGAGTGCGACGGACGGCGCCGGGAAGCACGTGAGGGAGTGCGGCGCCGCGGCTCGTGGCGGAGATTGATTGTTTCGAAAGTTGTCTCCAACGTGGGCACGTCTTCCAAAGTTAGAAATTGCAAATTATTTATAATTTATCCTCAATTTTTTTATAATAAGTTTTATGTCGGATCACGCGCTCACGCATAATTCATCAAATTGCCATATTATTTTTCGAATTATCTCCACACTCGCAAATTTGAGGACAACCCCGATTGCTGCCGAGCTCAAGGCCATATCGAGGTTGATGGTCGCCATGGTTGAAGCTCTGCTGCAGGGCATGGCCTGACGACCTTGAACCGTTGGCCCAAGCTGAGCTCACGTGGCTCGCAATGGCATGACTAGAGCGATCTCGCTATAGATAGAAAGGATAATGACGCGAACAGTCTATGAATTTTGGTTTAATGTGCAATGTTATCCCTAAACTTTTAATTTGTTCAATGCAGTTCCTAAATTTTAGCATAATGTTCAATATGGTCCCTAAAATTTTAATTGTTCAATGTGGTCTCTCAACTTTTGGTACATATTCAAATTAATCCCTAAATTATATGAAAATGTTCAAAGTAATCCCTAAATTTGAAGTAATTAAAGGACTACATTAAAATATTTTCATATGGTTCAAGGAATAAATTAAACATATATCAAAAGTTAAATTAAAAGTTCATGAACCATATTACACATTAGGTTAAAGTTCAATGATTACATTAAATAAATTAAAAATTCAGAGATCATATTATGTATCGGATCAAAGTTAAAAAACTGTTTATGTCATTTTTTTCAAAATAGAAACAAGCATGCAAGGAGAGGTACGTGGACGGCGCGAGTGGCCAGGTGTCGTTGTTGACATCCGAGTGTCGTTGCGCGCTATATGCTATTGTACGTAAGAAGATAGAAAACGCCAGAAAAGAGAGTAAGAGACGGGTTTCGGTGTAGATCTTGGGTGCGCACGAGGCAAATGCAGGTGTGTTTTTTAGGTTGGGGAGATGCAAAATTTAAGTTTTGAAATGTGAGGAGTGAATTTGATATGGAGAACAAAGATAAGGATGGCTTTCGCAATTATCACACTGGAATATTACTTAAAATTACTGAAAAACATCCAATGTTTTCATCTCACTAACATTTTCCATCCTCTATTTTCAAATATACATCTTTTAGCATCCACCCTTTTTATTTAAACACCGCATCCTATCGGAGTAATGAAGTTTTTTGTGCTAATATTTGATTAGTGTAAGATGCGGTTTCCTGCGAATTTGACGTGATATTTCTAGAGTTAATGTAACGACAAACCCCAAACTGATATATATGTAACAAATTTACGTCAAACTAATTTTTTTATCATGAAAAACTCCGAACCAGTATATCTGTGATAAATTTACTATAAACTAATTATTTGACCACAAAAAATTGGTATATTTGTGACAAATTTATTATCCGTTAGTTTCTGTTAAATTGGATTAATACCATGAAAAACCACAAAATGATACACATGTGATAAACGGAAAGTAAAACTCCAAACTAGTATATCTATCAACTACCACGTGTCATCCAACTCAGAAATTCAACGGTAAAATTTAACGAAAACTAAACAAGGGTAAATTTGTTACATGTATACCAGCTTGGGGTTTTTTATGGTCAAAAAATAAGTTTTGGATAAATTTGTCACATATGTATCAATTTAGGATTTTTCGTGGTATTAACTCATATTTCTATCAACATTTGTTTTGCCCAAGGAGTTGCTTTGGTTGATATAGGGCATGTTTACACCATTTAGAGATGAGGAGACGAATTGCTAGTATTCCAAATGCTATTTTCTATTTATGTAATGCCTCGAGTCTACATTGTGTAATATTGTTTGCTTTGGGCCTACTGACCCTCACGACTTTAAATCGCGTTACACAGAAAAAGTCAGCCCATGACTCCCCCCTAGGCGATGTGGAACAAGAGAGGCTCCCCTCCCTTCTCTGCGCACATCTGAAGACTGAGGCGTAGACACATCACCATCTCTCCTCCTCGTGCACCGCCGCCTGAGCCATCACACTCTCCACCCCTTAGGAGTACAGCGTCCTTGTTGTGGCCCCACACGCGATCGGGAGTCGGCTCTGATACCATAATGTGACGTTCTGGATTTAACTCACTCGAGGTATTGTCCGCTTTGGCCCGTCCCATACCAAACCTCATGGTTTTGTCCTTTGGCATACAAGCAAGAATTTTCCCTAGGAGGTCACCCATCCTAGTAGTGCTTTGGCTTGGGTTCGCTCACTTAACTTTGGAATTCCAAAGCATTGCTTGCTTCGCTCGCTTAACTTTGGAATTCCAAAGCAAAGCTTGCTGTTACGTCAAAAGGCGCCTCCGTGAGTTAATTCCGGGTTTTTCACATATATATTCCGTGAATCTCTCTCTTCATGTTCAAGGTACGCTTCTGTTCATTCCCGCCCCATTTGCCATCCTAGAAGCTTGCCAGGAGCCGCTCCTTGTCCAGACCCTCTGGCCCCGGTGACCACTCCCCGCCCTTGTCGGACTGGGTTGTTACAAGCCCACCAGCTTCCGAGTGGTTCGTCCCCAAACCACAAGCCTACTGGAGGGGGTCCTACTCTGATACCACCTGACTGTGTAATATTGTTCGCTTTAAGCCCACCAACCCTCACGGCTTTAAAACTCGTTACATAGATAAAGCCAGTCCATGACTCTCCCCTAGGCGATGTGCGACAAGAGAGGCTCTCCTCCCTTCCTTGCGCACATCCGAGGACCAAGGCGCAGACGCACTGCCATCCCTCCTCCTCATGCACCGCCGCCTGGGCTGTCACAATTTACCACCGAGCATATAGGTGATTAGAATACTAAGGAACGGAGCATAAACCTCGGGTCTCGATACTCTCGGAGCTCGAGTTTCTTCAAAATCATGTGGTCGGAGCACAAACTACAAGTCTCGACGTTCTCGGAGCTTGAGTTTTCCAATACACCATGGCACACGCAGGCACCTCAAAATACTATTGAACGGAGCATAAACATGAGGCCCCGATACTCTTGGAGCTGGAGTTCTTTAAATCCTGTGAGGCGGAACACAAACCTTGGGTCTCGACGCTCTCGAATATGCTACCTATGACTAATTGCAGAATAAGTTCCAAGCACATTCAATCAATGTGGATTAAGTTCACAATGAACTTGCCGGATGGAAGACAGGAACACCTTTCCATGGCAGATTCAATCATTTCCGGCTCGATTCGCCGTCGTGTCTGTCCCTATAATAATCCCGATCCCATTCGTGAACCGCAGAGTTAGCGAGAAGAGTCGTCGGGCCGTAGAGCTATGCTTTGCTCCATCTCCGACCGGAGAATATTTCCTTGAGTTTCTTGACATGGTTGGGCCATGCGTGTAAAAGACCTCCATTGCAGAGTGGTGTTTCGAGAGCAAAAGCTAAGTACCCTTCACAGCTAGTACTTGAAAAGAAAAAACGTCGAAAGAGATTATGCCAATCCTCGACTTGCCAATCAACATCGAAATCACTAGCAAGTGTACTATAACCTCCATTTTTAACACTCAAGAGCAAATTATGCTGTTTACATATCTAATCACCTAATCACATCTTATATTACACCCCAACCCAACTATATCAGATTGCAGTATCAGCTCTTTTGCGACGGCATCGAATTCCGCCTCGAAACTTTGTTCCTTTGCATGCCAATATCATTACTTGCAGCGAATTATACCATATGCCCAATCCCTAGCTCGACTTCTCATTCTCGCAGTTCTTTTCAACTTTCTTGGTATATATAGCAACTACAATTTTCACACACAAGAGAAGGGCTACGAGGAATCCCGGAAACCTCAAATAGCGTGCCGCATGATCCTGCGTTGTCCAATCCTTGCTTCAGATATCGTCTGACCAATCACTGAGCTCACTTTCGTAGAACAGCCCATCAACGATTTGGTCGATGAGGGAGTCGATCAGTGTGTTGCAACTGAGAGAGAAGATGCGGCCTACTCTGGTTCGGGCACTGGAGAACCAAGCAAAGAACGCGGCGCAGGCGACAGCTCCGAAGCACACCCCTGCTGCTTCAGCGATTCCTTGGACATCCATCTTCCTGAACAGGGAGTTTCCAGTCACCGCCTCCTCCGCCACTGTCGCTGCGAAGACAATCTGGTTGACAATAACATCCAAATTCATAAGGTCAGATTATGTACTTCCCGATTCATATCAGTCAATGAGCAAATTATGGGGAAGCAGATCAGCACAACACGAGACAAGGCAATCACTGTTTTGACACGAAAATGATATACCCTTGTCTAGACAGAGCACCCTGTACAAGCAATATAATCGGGACATCGGTAACCGAAGATTTCGATACTTAATTCGCATTTAACCTTTCAACTTTTGAAAAATTTGTAACTTTCTAGGATGAGCAGCTCCAAGCTTCTGTGTACTTGGGCACTCTCCAACCCCAAAACAAAATCTGTAAAATTTGGCCTTAAATGACTCATTCATATAACTTCCGACTGAAGAACTGACAAACAACTCCCTGTATCAACATCCAAGAATTTGCAGACAACCCACCAACCCTAACAAGCTCAGTTTCAAATACTGCTACTTATCAGATCAAGTCAACTGCTTCGGCACAAGTAAGTCCACCTTAGGTACATGTAAACTCCCAAATCAGTTAAAACATGAGTACAATCCGGATAAACGGTTAGAATCTGAAGTTGTATATCCTAGTTGTATGAAGAATCCAACTTGTAGTATTCACCTTGCCAATGAAAATATCTTCTGCTACAGTAAAGTAGAGGTACAGAAGACGAAACATCTATCAATAATGAGGATAAACAGAGACAGAGACCTCCATCTCATGTGATTCCAAAGCATAACCATGGATTTTTCTCTTCAATAAAGCAGAACAATCAAATTGAGTTGCTCCCACACAACATGTCTAGGCGTATATACAGATATATACATTCAGAAGAACTGTTGTTGAACTGAAACTCGTACCAAGAGCAGTCACATCAAGCAAGTTGGTTTCTTTAAAAGAGAAGAAAAGTAAGAAAAATGGAGATCACACAAACACTGACCATGGCTAAGCGACCAGAGATAATCTCGACGTCCTGGCTCTTCTTGGAGCTCTCGATGTACTCCGACAGCGTCTCGAAGAAGGGCGACACCGCATCGCCGCCGCCGCCGTCGGCCACCCTCTTGCTCTTGATGATCCCCACCGGATCAGAGCCGTAGGACCTCAAGTTGCACAGCCGAGGCTGCAGCAGGATCTTCCCGTTGCCGCCGTCGGGCACCGCCTGCTTCGGCCTCTGCACCGAGACCTGGACCGGGCCGGCCGGCTCCCTCCTCGCCACCTCCTGCTTCGCTGCCGGCAGCCGGCAGTGCACTGCACGCGCCGCCGTCGCCATGGGTGCTGAAGCGCGGGTGGGTTCCAGGAATCTTGGGTTCGCGTTCCGTTTCGGGGTGGCGTCAAGTCAAGAAGGGCGTGCTTTGGAATCTTCGTGGTATTCTGGAATGACACGTCTGTCGTTTATGCGCGAGAGGTCCGGAGTGGGTGACGTGGCGGTGGGTCCCGGCGACGACGCGGCGGAGGATGGTTCGTTAACGTGGTTGTGGGAAGGGGGGTGGCTCGTACGATAACGTGGTGGGGAGCGGTTGGCTACGGCGGCCTTACGTTTCCATCGTGAAAAGGCTAATTGCTTTTCGTGCGGGCGCTCGTGACGGGAAAGTTGTCGCATGCGCACCGGTTTGGTCGGCCGGTGCGCAAGATCCGTCGGATCCGGTGGATTTCGCGTGGGGCTCATAAAATTCGACGGATGATATGCATTAGAGTTTGGATGCAGCTAATAGTTTTCCTCCGGTCAGAGCAAGAACGTGTGGACAAAGACGGGACATTGTTTCGGTAATTAGAACAACTACTGGCGTGGATCACACGTGCGTCTTATACAGACTACGCTTGGTGGATTGGATTTGTCTAGGGATTATTTTTTGGGCAAGGTTTATCTTGTTTCCGCTCATATTTGTCTAAATAAACACTTTTATCTGTATACAGAGGTGGCAAAATGGGTGGTTTGGATGGGTCATAAATGGGTTCGACTCATTTATTTATTAAGTAATTTAAATGATTCATATCCAACAAAACCTTGATCTAACCCAAATCCAACCATATAACACATGGTAAAAACAAGGGTTAATACCACGAAAAATCCTAAACTGGTACACTTGTGACACATTTACCCCAAACTATTTTTTTGATCATAAAAAACCCCAAATTGGTACACCTGTGACAATTTTACCCCAAACATATCACAAAAAACCCTAAACTGGTACACATGTGACAATTTTACCCCGAACTAATTTTTAATATTATTTTTTTGAATTTTTTTCTTTTCTTTTTTTTTCCTTCACCTTCAATCTACGGGCGGTCGCGGTCCGGCTGCGACGGCCAGAGGCTGGAAGGCCGGTGAGGCGCCTCGCCCAGATCCGGCGAGGCGACCACCAGATTGGGCGAGGCGGCGCCTCGCCGGTCTGGGCAAGGGCCGCCCTCACCGCGTCGAGGCGAGCGCCTCGCCCGGATCCGACGAGGGCGACCCTCGCGGTTTGGCCAGGTGCCCTCGCCCGGCGTCCGGCGGCCTCGCCCTCGCCGGATCCGCGAGGGCGACCCCCGCCTGCGTCGAGCGAGGCAGTCCTCTCGCCGCCAGGAGGGCGACCCTCGCCGATTTCCGGGCGAGGCGGCCCCTAGCGGACGCAGGAGAGGTCGCCTCGCCGAGATCGGGCGAGGCGACCCTCGGCCGCGTCCGGGCGAGTGCCGCCCTCGCCCGAGTCGGCGAGGATCGCCCTTGCCCTGGGCGGGGCGAGACGGCCCTCGGCCTCGACGCACGGCGGGGCGCCTCGCCGGCTTCCACCTGCTGGCAGTCGCCGACCGCGACCGGCGAAACCGAGTTTGAAGATGAAATAAAAAAAGAAAAGAAAAGAATAAAAAAATAAATAAAAAATTCGAAAAAATAATATTAAAATTTTAATTCGTGTGGTAAAATTGTCACATACCTTCTGATTTGGCCGATTTTTTTGGTAAGTTCGGTAAAATTGTTACAGTGTACGATTTACGGGTTTTTTGTGATCAAAAAAATAGTTCGAGTGGTAAAATTGTCACAGAGTATACTTGGTTGGGGTTTTATTGGTCAAAAAAATAGTTTGGGGTAAATGTGTCACAAGTGTACTAGTCTAGGGTTTTTCGTGGTATTAACCCTAAAAACAAATAGGGTTAATACCACGAAATGCGTTTGGTAATTGAACAAAATTTCTATTCCTAAAATAGAAAAAAACATAAATACATTTGGTAACAGTACAAAATTTATATTCCTGAAACACAAAAATTTCTATTTCCAATTTTCTCATATGATTATCTTTTGAAAGTTTTTGAAGAAGACAACTTCTTTGGTATTTTTTAATAACTTCAACATTCCTAAACTCGTGATTTTTAAGTTTAAAAAAAATACCATAATGGGGTCATTATGAGAATGGTATGGCCTAACAAATAAAATCATAAATATAGAATTAGATGACCTTAATACGATTAAAAGAAATGTATTCATAATAGTTTACAAACACATTACAAAAGTCGGAAATGCAAAGTCATGAAATCTCATGCATATTGTGATCCCTTACCATTTTATTTGTAATATTTTTCCTAATCATGTTTATCTTAGCTACCTCCTCAAGTGATGTATCATCTACAACCTCCACTTGTGTAGGTCCAATGGGTACTCTGGATCTCCATATAAGGAAAATTTTTTATCCATCTTCCCTTCCTCACAAATGTAATTATGGAGAGCATAACATGTAATTACAATAAGTGCTTGCTTTCAAATTGAAAATGGAGGCATGTGTCTAAAAATGAAGAAGCGATTCTTTAATGCTCCAAATAACCTCTCAATGACATTCTTGAGTGAAGAGTGCCTATGGTTGAACAATTCTTTTGCTGTTTTGGGCCGTCTCCCTCTACCCCTATAATCATTCAAATAATACCGTTTACATTTAAACGAAGTTAAAAATTCAGGAAGTGATGCATAACCATAATCTACCATATAGTATTTGTTTATAAGAAGGTATACTTAAATTTGTTATGATATGCAACCCCTATACAATTATAAAGAAAATTATTTCTTATAGACAACGAAAATACCGAGCGATGGTTAAGAAAATTGCAATCGAGGAGCCCCGAGTGCTGCTAAAAGCACCCGACAATCATTGGCAGATTATTCCCACCCAACATACACAAAAGTAAATTTCATATCAAACGAACAAGCACACATCACATTCTAGGTGGTACTTCCTTTCCTGCCTCTAAATGGGATCTGCTGGAACATAGGGATGGAAGCATCAATGTGGGTGCCATCAATAGCACCTACGCAGCCTTGTGATTTCATAAAAGTCTAGTGTTACACAAGATTATCAACTACATGTATTTAATTGTGTAAAATCAATATGAAAATCATACATTGAAGTAGCGTTTATGGTTAGGATCCATAAGAATCTCCTTTGGGACAACATCAAAGTAAGGTGGTTTGATACCTCTTTTGACAGTTTGATAACTGTTTTCAACACTATATTGAAATACATGCTTATTGTTTCTCCCGAATGTTGGAATCTCTCACATAAATCTCTATTGGAGTTTTTGTGACCAACCAAAAATAAGAAGATCCCAACTTATTTATCTACCCTTATATATCAACTATCTTTCAACCAACCTCTTGCCGTCATTAAACCACATAGGTTCAGAAAAACATGTCTCTCCAACCTGAAGGCTTCATATATCATATCTGAATGTCCATAAACAATCTCTATTATCCATTTGGGTCTTGACAATTTACTATTCCTAATAGGTTCTTTCGTATGCATAGACATGTCCAACACAACAATGCTCAACCATACTATCATTACGTCAATATCAATGTCATCCAAAACCTGTTCAATTTGTGCTACCTGCCCATTAGATACACTATTTTGTCCCCCTTCCATAGTACCTATGCTATTACACAAATACAAGAACATTAATATATATATTTGAAAAGAAATACCCAATAACAACCAATAACATAAGTCATAGAGTGAAATAAACCAAATATAAAAATCTCACGCAATCCATTGTACCCAACCCCCCACACAAATGCAAGAGTCTCAACATCAATATATTTAAAAACCATATAACAATCAACAACATAAGTCATACAATCAATGAAACCTTACGCAATCCACAATACATTTCTCAATATCTACTAAGGAGATTGGAGAAATCCATTTCTCCTTTAAGCTAAGGATGTGATAAAAGCCTCCCTCCATATGGCACTAACGTAGGCTCGTTCCACTGCTTTGTTGTAAAGATTCTGCTCTAACTCAGGCATGCTAACTAGGACTCCAATCACAGCAGATACAAAGAAGGAGTCTACAGGTGGTGATACGACCTGTGAGGTAAAAAAGCCAGCGACATATTGACTTGCCCTAATTTTGATCAAATCTTGTAGAACTTTTATAGGTGCTACCAATAACAAATGAGTGACTCTATCTTCTCCTCTTAGTATTTTGAGTCCTATTCAACTTGTGCTTGTCATGAACTGGAGCAGTAGTTTGGTCGAATGTAAAGACTCCCTCTTGACCACCGTCTGCATCACCACCACTAGTGTCACCTTCGTCCTACACCATCAAATCTTTGGCATTTCCTGTTGCATGCTCCCCAGTAGTCGGAATACTGAGGAAACCCATCATTCTTGAATTTTGTCCACTCACTATTATCCTGCAGTTTTCACAATGATGACATATATCAGCAAGACAATGAAACCTCTAGCCATGTACATGTATAGTGATCGCAAAATGACCAAAGGTCAAATGATCCCTTGACGTGATGTTCCCATATACTTGGATCATTGACAACAACTGTTTTGTTTACATTATTCTAGCCATATTCGGATTGTGAAAGAAGTTTCTTAAAACTACCACATTATTTTCTCAATTTGTTTACCTTGTTCTTCAACTGCACTTGATTATATTGGAGTCCTGACCGTTTTTTTGAATTCGGTCCGTATGTTAGTCCACCTTGCTTTGTTGTAAGTAGAGCGGTGCGATTTCCCTTTTTGACCTCTTCTACCAACAAACCGACATACAAGTTGGTTAAAGAGTCGGTCCACTTTGCGATGAATGCCTCTTTCTAGGATACCATTTAACCTTTACTAGTTGAGCATCATAAGAGTTCATGATAACCATATGTGTAAAGATGTTAAAAAAGTGTCGAACCAAATACAAACATATTCATGAATACATTGCATGGATAGAGAAACAATTAGGAGCACATATTTATGTGTCGTGGGAGTGCATGTGAACTCAGCTATAACCAAGGAGTGAATATGTACCATGCAAAGTAAGTGGAAACCAAACAGAAAGAGAAGACCTAAAAATATATATAGTTCGTTTTTACACAAATTCCCTTGGTCATGATGAACAAGTCAAGAGCACAAGTAGATCTCAGAAGGGTCTAATATGCAGTGAGTAGTTCAAGTTAACGAAGTTGCAGAAGACCTCATGGCCAAAAGGTATTGACTAAAATAGATTCCTCACTACCCGGATCCTTCAATCATCTATAAAGAGAATCAATCTGGAAAGTAGGTTTCTAAACATGTCAACAAATGTCTGTTCTGTCTATGAAGAGCTTGAGCTATATTAGTAACCTATAATTAGCACTTCTCTGCACTGAGTTTGTTAAGCTTGTTTACTTAATCTCTCCAATGAACCATGACACAAGGTCTTGCATTTCCATCACAATGAAGCAAGTTGTGCTGCATCGTCGACGTCCCTCCCAAGTTCACCTACTGAAATCCAGCACATGCTCGATGCTTCCCTCGTCAAAATCAATCGTCAGGACCGATAACGACTCTCACCTTTTTTTTTACATCAACTAATTTACTTATACAAGATGTGCACGACAACTCGAAGTAGAGCAAATCGACATTAGGGTTTCAAATTTACAAACAATCAGAGCAAATCCATATGCAGAGCCATTCAACTTCAAGAAGTGAGAATCACAACAAGAAAATGCATAACCACAAAGAATGGAAGAGAAAAATGTGGATCGGGGCGATCGAAAGAAGCAAACGAGAGAGAGGCGAACACGATTGGAGCAATCGATAGCTGAGCGAAGACAAGGTGACTGGAGAGAGGCGACGTGACCGAAGAGAGGCGATGCGACTGGATAGGGCGACTGGACAGAGGTGACCACTGGAGGTGAGCTGTGTGCAGATCTAGACTGGAAGAGAGGCAAAAAAGGCAATGCCACAGCAGAGAGCCGATCGGATAGAGGCGACGCCACCGGAGAGAGCCGACCATAGAGAGGCGACGCTTTGGAGGTGATGAGCTGAGATGGAGATGACGTGCGCGAGCTTGAGAGGCAAGCGAGTGTTGCGAGGAAAATAGAGATATTAGGGTTTATGACAAAAATCGTTTCTCGTTTTTGTTCTAGAAACAAGAAGTAAATTTTTTTTTGGGGTTAATACCACGAAAAATCCCAAACTGGTACACTTGTGACAATTTTACCCCAAACTAATATTTTGACCACTAAAAACCCCAAACTGGTACATTTATGACAAATTTACCCTCCGTTAGTTTCTGTTAAATTAGATTAATACAAAAAAAAAATTACAAACTGGTATACATATGACAAATGAAGGGTAAAACATAAAACTGGCACATTAGTTAATTGCCGCATGTCATTTAACAAAGTAATTTGACAGTAAAATTTAACGAAAATAAATTGAGGGTAAAATTATCACATGTGTACCAGTTTGGGATTTTTTATGGTCAAAAAATTTGTTTGGGGTAAAATTATCATAGGTGTACCAGTTTGGGGTTTTTCGTGGTATTAACTCTTTTTTTTATTTCTTGTTTCTGTTCCAAATCTATTTCCTGGTCACTTTTCTATTTCAAGAAATAAAAAAAATAACTGACATTACCGAATGTATTTATGTTCTTTTTCTATTCCAGAGAAATAAAAAAACAGAAAAACAAAAAAACATAAACGTTACCAAACACACCCTAAGCCTATCCAAAATCTCTCTCAAGAAACGCAAAAGGTTTAATAACTTGTATTTTATGTTAAGAGGTGTTTATATAACCACATTCATCAAAAGTCATGGGGAAAAGCACGAGAGAGCGGGAAGACGAGGAGAGGTAGCGCTAGCGAGCGGGGCGAAGTCGGTAGACCAGGCGACGGACAGTTGCGACTGGAAGCAACCAAAGCAGCAATGGCGGGTGTAGCTACTGTCTTAAAGGTTTTTGAAGTGGGTCCAGTGTTTATAAATGATTGCATAGACATAGGTAAGTGCCAAATGGTATTTTAGGATAAAAGTGGCAATTTCGTAGAAAGTGGTTTCTTGGGAGATGATATGATGCCCAAGCAGAAAGGTGAGAAAATAAAGATGTTTATTTTAATAAAGGACGCAAAAATGTATCCAGGTGGAAACTTGTGATGGTTTTTTGTACCTCTTGCAAAAAAACTAGATGTATACTACAATATAATGTTTATGTAATTGCGAAAATCCGAGGTTACTCACGTTATAAAAGCCAAAGTCCATGAATGGTAAGTTTTAATAATTAGCACAAAATAGTCTTTAAAAGTTAACCAAACATAACAAGAAAAATAGGTCTGTAAAATAACTGTAATGAATTTTATAGAGCGTGTGTTGATAGATTGTTACTTTTTGTAATATAAACCTTGTGGCGGGCAATACTTTCGCTTTTTCTTAGTACAAAAAACATAAATATATTCTCAATATATAGATGCTAATGTATGGATTCATCCGAAATTTTTGTAGACAACATTATAAATAATAATGGGGGACTGTTTCAAGTGGGAAAATTACCAAAATAATCTTAAACCTATTACAATTGTGCCAATTTAGTCTTAAACCTTTTTTTGTGCCAATTCAGTCCTACTTCTTTTACATTTGCACCAATTCAGTTCATCAGCCAATTTTGGTCGGCCGGTGCTGATATGGACATCGACCGTCCGACTAACGCTGACGTGGTAATTTTTTAATATATATATTTTTTATTTAATTTATTTTGTTATTAATTTTTCCTTTATTTTCTTTTCTTTCCCTTTTTTTTTCTCCCTTCATCTTCAACTTTTAGCTGGTCATCAGTCCAATGGCCAGCCAGAGGCGGGGGCTGGCGAGGCTCGACCTCGTCCAGCGACGGCGGGGACGAGCCTGGCCAAGGGCGGGCGAGGGCTCATCCTCTCCGACAACTGGCGAGGTTGACCTTGCCTAGCAACGGTGAGGTCGAGCCTCACCAGCGACCGGCGGGACCGACCTCGCCGGCCTTGCCTCTGGCCGTTCGCCGGATCGGCGATCGGCTAGAGGTTGAAGATGAAAGGAGAAATAAAAGAAAGGGAAAGAAAAAATTAATAAAAAATATTCGAAAAAATATTTAAAAATTGTCATGTCAAGATTCTTAGGATTTGGTGAATCGCAAGACAAATACAAAAGGTTTATGACTGAATTGGCACAATTGCAATAGGTTTATGACTGTTTTGGTAATTTTCCCGTTTCAAGTAGTGGTAATCAGTTCCTAGGTGGGTCCTTCTAGGCCTAGAATTGAGAATCGACCCCATGACTCTCAATTCCAAAAAATTGGAGCCGATCAAATTTTTGTTTTGTCCAAAAAATAAATTTTTTTATAATAAAATATTGACATTGCATTATTTCACTACAAAAACATATGTTGGTCAAGTGATTATGTTATTGTTTATTCATATTGAAGACTATGGTTTGATTTCCATTTGTGCAAAAACGTTTTTTTTAAAGGGAAAATTGTCTAAAAAGTCATAAACCTATTGCACTTTTGCCAATTCAGTCATAAACCTTTTAAGTTTGCTAATTCAGTCCTAAACCTTACTTCTTGCCAATTGAGTTCATTCGGCCAATTTTAGCCAGCCGGCGCTGACGGCTGTCTAGCCAACGCCGACATGATAAATTTTAAATATTTTTCGAAATTTTAATTTTTTTTCTCTTTTTTTTTTTTGCCCTTCTTCCCTCTGGTCGATCCGGTAACTGGCTAGAGGCGTGGGCCGGCGAGTTCAATCTCGCCGGCCTCTGGCGAAGCTCGCCCCCGCCGGCCATTGGCGAGGGCGAGCCTCGCCCGCCGCTGCTAGGCCGACCTCGCCTAGCCAAGGCGAGGTGAAGCCTAGCGACGGCGAGGTTGGCCACGCCATGGCTGGGTGAGGCTCGACCTCGCTGGATCTGGGCGAGGTCGAGCCTTAGGCCTCGCCTTAGCTGGGTGAGGTCAGCCTGGCAGCGGCGGGCAAGCTTCGCTAGAGGCCGGCAAGGTTGACCTTGTTGGCCCGCACCTCTGGCCGGTCGCCGGTCCGGCCAAAGTGAAGAAGGGTAGAAGAAAAAAAAAAGAAAAAAAAAATTAAAAAATTGCCACGTCAGTGTTGGCGCGACGGATGGCGCCGGCCAGCGGCTACGTCAGCGCTGGGTGGACTCAATTGGCAATTAGTGAAAAGATTTAGGACTGAATTGGTAAACTTAAAATGTTTAGGACTGAATTAGCAAAAGTGCAATAGGTTTATGACTTTTTAGATAATTTTCCCATTTTTTAAAAGACCGTTTCAACCAGAGAACTGGCCAGCATCAAAGGCAGTCGTGCACCCACTAGGTCGACGACCTCCCACTCATTTTCATTTCACTTTTTTTTATGTAAATTTTAATACACTTCATTTTCATTTTTATGATTGTATCTATCGTGATATCCAATATTCTATCGATTAAGAGATATGATATTGAAAGTCGGTCACATTTCTTTCTCATTATCATATCATAATCCTTACCTTCGCGTCCAAATGCAACATAAAAGTATGAATCGATGTACTTCGTAATGAATCGGTGTATGTGCAATGGACACATTGTGACATCTACAAGAGAAGCTAATAATTGCACCCAACGCAATTTGTTTGGTACATGTGAGCCGTTAGATTTTGTGGATCCCAAGTGGAGCTTACATGATATGACGGATTGCATTACTAGACTTAAACCGGTTAGGGGCAACTACAGTTTTCCGACCTAAAGGGCTAAGCCCGACCGGCACTAGAAATTCAATGGCATATCGAAAAACACAAAGAAATACGATTGAGATGAGAGAAAATCTGGGTAAAGCCACAAGCCGACAACTACACGATGAGAATTTAAACACATGTCAAACTTCTTTCTTTGTTGTTCATGACCATGGACAATACACAAAAAGAGAATTACATAAAAAGACTTTCTTTCTACGTAGATCTATAAGAAAAGTTGTCTTAGATTGAATGATTCATTAAGCACTGCCTTCCCCTTGAACTCTCTTCACTCCCCTGGCCCTCATTTTCTACCTTGTTCATCCAAGTTATGATCCATCGCTTGTTCTTGCCGTGAAGCTGACGATGAAGAATACACAGCCATCACCCGATGCAGCCTCGCACGATCATTTGTAACCCTTCACTAGATGATTTCGTTATCATTACACATCAAACTCAAATCCTCACAAAGAATACACTAAGCTCAGGCCCATTGTTGCCCTCCGGGCTCAGCATGTAAAGCGTCTCCGAGTCCTTCGACCCGACGATCCGCTCAAAGTGTGCCCGCATGTAGGCCAGCTCACCGTCGGGTCCCTCCACGTCGGAGTTGCCTGGCAAAACCCCGGCGCCCATCGACACGGCCTTGAGGAGCTCCATCACGTTCAGGTCCTCCTCCGAGGCGTCCCTCTTGACCCCGTATCCGGACTTCTTCCCATTGCAATACATGGTCCACAAGGGCTCATCTAAAATCTTGGTCTTGTCCTTGTCCGGTCTCTTCTCACATTCTAGGGCGATTCTCACCATGCCTGAGCTCAGCTCCTTTTGTAACACGCTGGTCTGCATGGCTAGTTCCACCACCAGCGTGGGGAGGCATCTGGGGGTCTCTTGCAAGGACAAGCTGACTCTCCCTTTCCGGTACCCGAATAGCGTGCCGGTCACGCGGGCCCCCGAGATCGTCCGGTGGGTGTCGGGGATACCCATCGGGAGCGTCGGAAACTTGCACACCGGGGTTATGATTGGGAGCGACCGGAACACGGAGCGGAAGACGTGGAACACCTTGGTCTTGTGCCTCTTCTTCTGGGACGGCTGGACTAGGGAGAGCGGCTGACGGGGAGGTGGCGGCGGCGAAGGAGCTGCCTTTGTGCGCCAGCGGTCATCGGACGAAGCGGTGGTTGCGTATCTTGGCTCCCCCATTATTGGATGTTCGTGGACCAGCAATGGAAGGATGCCATGAGAGAGAGAGAGAGAGAGAGAGAGAGAGAGAGAGAGAGAGAGAGAGAGAGAGAGAGTAGGTTTTGCTTGGTTAAGGTTGGTATGGTTATGAGGTTGGAGAGAGTTTTCCGATCCTAAAATTGAGGAAGTTTGAACCTCCCCAATTTTGGCTTCAAGAGATTCCGGATCTGCATGAAATGTGCAACAGACATACACATAAGTGGCCATGCATATATAATGCAATCGCAAAGCAGTCAGAAATTAATTAACCGATCTATATCGATCATACCGTACACTTAATTACTTGGTAGTTATAATGTGATCAATGGCTAAGAAGATCGACACGGCACGGTTTCAACATGGCGCCGCGCAATCCGGCCAAAAGGCTGTGGACACGGCGGTCTAGTACAGCTGATGAGTGGTTCAGATGGTCTGAATGAGATTGAGAGATATATGCTTGCCTTATGAAGGAAGGTGGTCATGGGTTGAAATGAACCAAAGGAAATGGGACAAAGCTTGGATTGGTCAAACGTAACAACCTGTTCCTGCAACTTGGCTTCTCTTTGGCTCTTGTTGTACCCGTGCTTGGAACAGGAAGAAGATCTTCAGCTACCTATCGAGGGGAAATTTGTCCAACAAATCCTAAATTTATTGCACTTTTATCAATTCAGTCCTAAATCTTTTAATTTTGCCAATTGAGTTCTACACCTTTTCACGTTTTGCCAATTGAGTCCATCCAGCCAATTTTAGTCATGGACGCTAGCCATCCCAAGTGACACAAGCGGCACTGATGTAGACAATTTTTAATAATATTTTAAATTTTTTTCGAATTTTTTTAATTATTATTATTTTTGTTTTTTTCTTCTTCTTTTTATTTCTTTTCACCGGGCTTGAAGGAAGAAAAATTAAAAAAAAACAAAAAGGAAAAAAGAAAAGAAAAGAACAAAAAATAAAATTATAAAAAATTGTCCACGCCGCGTATTACCGTCAGACATGTGGCATCATCGCCTTTCATCGGCAATTTCCTATTAAAATTGGCACGATTGACTCAATTGGTAACACGTAAAAAGTTTTAGGACTCAATTAGCAAAATTGAAAGGTTTAAGATTGAATTGGCAAAAGTGTAATAGGTTTAGGGACTTTTTAGATAATTTCCCCCCGATCGAAAGATTGTAGGAATCTGTTCCTTGTGGACTTTAAAGGTGAGGTAGTTGCAAAGGCCATTTGTGGATGATAATTGGTACCGAGGCACTAATGCAGATGATCTGAACAAAGATTGAAGATGTATCTAGGGACTAACACTTTAACTTCTGGGATCTCAACAAATGACCAATTGACTACATGGTCAAAATTTTTAGAATAGTTCAGTGCAACTTTCCTTTTGTTAAAGATAATTTTCACTTTTGTTTGTTGCCACCACTAACGAAAAGCCTCAAGTCATTTTCGGCCCAGCCCAGTCCAAACAGACCTGTCGTGGGATTTGTAGGTCTTGTTACTTGGGAATATGGCTCGAGCCGAATTAAATCGGTTCGGTCCAGGCCACTTTGGGCCTAGGCTGAATCTTTTACTTTTCGTTAAAATAAAAAATATTTTTTTATTATTTTATCTATAATCAAACGCCTAACTAAAACAATTAACAATAATCTCTCTTACAATCTATAAAATAAACTCACTTTACATATCTTGACTTCAATAGGACATAACTTTTTATCCAAGTAAAGTTATGAGAACAGTAAGTATAATTCGAGAAGCTCATTTAGAGCCCAACGCTCTTGAGCCAATGGCTGAATTGAGGCCATTTTTTATCTCATTTTTCTTTTTTGTATTACCGCCACTTATTTTCTTGCTTATTTGATTCTTCATCATGTTTTTTTTTTGTAAATTTACGAATTTATTGGAGCATTTAGAGAGTAAATAATTTACTTTCCCTCTTTATTTTTAATAATTTTTTATTTTTAAATATGTTTTTAATTTTAGAATTTATTTTGGGCCGATGTCAGCCATTTTTGGTTAATCCTGAGAGGGCTACATTTTTCATGCGTCCATGACCATAAAAAACTTTCGCTACTCATAACTTAGTTTTGAACATCATCTACACGCCAACTTAACTATACGTAAGTGTGGATGATATTCATACTTGTAACTTGCTCATTAGTAGTTGGAACTAGATGAAAACATGGCCCATCCATATAATCCATCCTCTCTCTTTTCTCGAGTCTCCGCCTTGTTTGTTCATATTGATAGACTTCACAGAAGAGGAAAAAGGGTATTAAAAAAAAAGGGGCAATGACATGCATGGTTCATGAACTTTTTTCTTCATTATTTAATGAGGTTCATGAACTTTTTTTGATTCAATCTATTCCTTGAACTTTGGAAAATTCATCCAATTTAATCCTTGCGTTAAAAATTCTAACACCATTAGCTGATGTGACCACAATTTCTGTTAACTCGAAGTTAGATTTGTCATGGTAGCGTTTAAGTTGCTTACACGTGTCTTCCGCGCAATATCTCTCTCATTATTTCGGCCCAAAGATACAACAAAAGAGATTTGCCAACTTGAAAAAACTACGTGATAGTCCCCATCATTATGTTGACCCAACAAACCTTGATGTGATAGTCCATGCCAGAAAAATGCACATAATTATGCAATACACTTAAGCTTCGTTTGTTTTAACGAAAAATGAATGATTTAGAAAAAAATTTCTAAAAAAATGATCACTTATATTATTTACAAAAACGAATGAACTAAAAATATTTTCATTATTTATGAAAATGTAGAGATATAAATTATTGTCGACTATGAATACATTTCCCATAAAACAATTATTTCAAGTGATATAAACGATCGTTTTATGAAAATATTTTACAAATTATTTATTTTTCGTGAAACAAACGGAACCTTAATGAAAAATGCCATAGTGAGTGGACTTTCGAACAGTGAGGGATTGGATTGAACCAAGAAGGGTTATATAGTCCTTGAACTTTTGGTCAATGAAGAATGTAGTCTCCGAAATTTTTAATTTATTCAATGTAGCTTTGAACTTTAACCTAGTGAGCAATGTGGTATCTACGCTTTTGGTATATGTTCAACTTAGTCCTTGAACTAAATAAAATTGTTCAATGGTGTCCTTCCATTAATTTAAATTTAGAGATAGCATTGAACATTTTGAGATAGTTTATAGACTAAATTGAGCATGTATCAAAAGTTTAGGACTACATCAACATATCAAAGTTCGGGGATCACATCAACAAACTAAAGTTTATGGACCATATCGCACTTTGAATTAAAGTTCAAAGATTATTTGTGTCATTTTCCCAACTAGGAAAAAGAAACGGCAGGGAACATTTCAAACATTCAGCAAAAGTTGGGGCCGTTCGTATGATTACCCAAAAAAATAAGAATTAATACAACGAAAAACCCCAAATTGTTACACTTGTCACAAATTTACTCAAAATTAATTTTTTGATCACCAAAAATCCCAAATTGATACACCCGCGATAAATTTACCCCAAAACCCTAAAATGATGCACTTGCGATAAATTTACCCTTTATTAAATTGAATTAATATCACAAAAAATCACAAATTGATAAATCCGTGATAAACGAATGGGGTAAAACCATACCCGTCAACTGCCGGCTATTTTAACGGAAACTAACGAAGCGTAAATTTGTCACACTAGCCGGTGAAAAAAATAATTTGAAGTAAATTTATCACAAATGTACAAATTTGAGGATTTTTCATAGTATTAACCTCAAAAAAATAAAAAGGAAACTGGAGAAAGAAACAAAGAAAGCTGAGTCCCCCCATTATTCATGTGGCGGTCGACTTCACCCCCACGAGTGAGGCGCAACCCCCTCACGCGCGCGCCACGACACGAGCAGCACGACCCAGGTCTGCACCTCCATTAATGCCCTGCTTCTCTTCCCCTTTATTTCTCTCTCTCTCTCTCTCTCCTTCTCTCTTTCTCTCTCTACTTCCCCCTTCTGCTCCAACGAAGAAGAAAGGCGAAGACGAAGGAGAAGAGGAAGAAGAAGAAGCTGCCGAAGGTCGGGCGCGGACATGGTGGAGTTCGGAGACGAGCTCGTGCTGGAGAGCTTGAGGATACCGTGGCTCATATGGATCCAGCTCCTCGTCATGCTCCTCCTCCTCCTCCTCCTCTACTCCTTCACCTCCTCAAACGCCGACTCCTCCTCCGCCGCCGCCGCCGCCGCCGCCGCCGCTCCCTCCTCCTCCTCCTCCTCGCCGTCTCCGCCCTCGCCGCAGCCGCCGCCTCCTCTGGAATCGCGCGGATCTCGGTCCCGCAAGCAGCAGTTCCTCGCCGCCCACGGCGGCGCTCACCAGGTACGGCCCCGCCCGACTCTTTTGCTCTGCCTTCGAACCGTGTGTCGGAACTCGAGTTTTTATTGCTTCGCTCGTGGATTCGCGGAGCTCGTTAGAGATTTATACGAAGTGATTTGCTCGTTTCTTCGCCCGAGCGTGCGCAGCCGAGAGTCGCGAATTCGGGACCGATTCGGCGGCGCTAGGACTGGTTTCCTGCTCGCGCGAACCGATGCTCCGTGCTCTCGTCCCCGTCGAATCATCGCGATTCAACGACGGGACTTTTCAAGAATCGCTCGTTTTTCTACTCCGTCGGCCAGTTCACGGTCGCTGAAAGCAGCGACTTGGAAGGCCGAAACTTCTTCCGCATCACCGCCGTCGGCCTTCTTCACCAAATCAAATTCAACTCGCAAAAAAAAAAAAAAAAGAGGAACAAAACAAAACAGAGTGGAAACCGGCTTTGATCCTTCCGCGTCGCCTTCGCTTTCCCCCCATCCAAATCCGTCGGTGCATTTGGTCGCATTGCTCGACTCGACGGAAGCTTCGTCGCGAAGCATCGGAATCCGCCCTCCGACCTTTGCTTGCGGATATGCCTGCCCCCCCCACGGAACTCAACGATTCTCATGGGGGGGCCCATCCATCCGGAGCTTTCAAACTTCCGTTAAGATTTTCCTTCTACGGCCGATTGGGACCTTATTCTTCTTTAAAACTCGAAGATTGGGCGGGCGACGATGGGATCTCGGTGAAAAGGGTTGGGGGGGGATAATGATGGGGGGTGGGTTGCACCAAATCTTGATCCGAATTTTGGATTGATCGATGACATCCGATCGATTTCCGACACTCCGATCTGGGGGAATCTCGTCTGGGTCTCCCTGCCTTTTGTGGTTTGGGACCCCCCCCACCCGTTTGATAAAATGGGGGTGCATCCAATCGCCATCCCCTCTCGCTTCCCTGGGGGTCATGTCGACTAAACTTATGCATTTGTACCCCACTAGAATGTTGATGCTAACAATCCTTGTACAGTCGTGTTACAGGTATGCTCCACAATCCTCTATGTACACGTATACATAACTATACGTACATCTGCTGCTTGTGATTCGTCTACACTAATTTCCTTAAAAGGCACAAACTTTAGGTCGGTTTCTAAGTCTTGAGAGAAAGTATTAACTTTGGTTCGAGTATTAATTCTGTCCAAAACCTTTTCTTTTTTTTTGCTAAATGAATAAATACGAACTTTAAATCGAATCTTGATTCCGGTATTTTTTGGGTCTCATAAAAAAGCATAGACTTTCGGTCGATGCCCGAATCTGGACCGGTTTATGCGATGGATTTAAGCAATGTTTTTTTTTCCTAGATAATTACGGCGAGGCAGACAAGCAGTGTCTTTGCCAATGTAGGATGAGCTGTGCCATCTCTCAAATAGCTGTGTTGTCATGTGATCAGTAAGTTATTTGTTTTTTTTTCTTTTGGAGCATCTGGTGTTCAGTCGGTGGGATGAGGCGCTCGGATTCAATTATTCTATGGTGAGATTCGAATGCTGCGGGCACATCAGCTTTCGCCTTTGATTAAAATTGAAATTTTGGGATCTTGTAGTATTAGGTGAGTCACCACCGAAAGGTCTTACCTTTGAGGTCAAGCTAAGTTGTCTCCACCAGAGACGTGCCTCTTTCTCCTTGCTTCGGAAATGGACGGTTCTTGAGAATAATCAATCGCAAGAAAACGCCACCAGCCAAAGCTTCGGTGTGTACACAAGAGGTATTGAAAGGTTGATGAATAAATTAAAAATAAAAGACATATGTAGGGCAGAAACTATGATTTCCTTTGAATCAAAGGATAAAGGGTGGGACGAGTAAGGGGTATTGGTCTTTTTGTCGTATATTCAATATAGTCCGTAAATTTTTATTTATTTTTTTTTCTGGTTGGGTTGGTTACTGGGATGTGCAATAATAGCTCTCTTTTTGAAAAAATATTTTCCACATGGAGAATTGCGATGGGCATGAGAATGCCTTCTTGTTGGTCCTTTGTCATCTTCTTGTCATCATTACTCCCATCTTGCACGTACCTTTTTCTTCCTTGCTTTTCTGCATAACCTGGTCATCTTCTTGTCATCATTACTCCCATCTTGCACGTACCTTTTACTTCCTTGCTTTTCTGCATAACCTCGTCAAGAGAAAACCCCCCAACAAAATAAGTAGAATTTCATGCTGGCACGTAAATAATCTTAAAGTTTTTAATGCCAATGTGCTTAGAGTCTACACATTGTAAGAAATTAAAAAATGACCCTGGAGGTGTTGGCCTATATGGAAAGAGAGTTTGTTCTCCTGGTATTGGGTGGGAGCGAGAGTCAAATACTGAATGCATTGGGGCAAAATAGTGGAGTGCGCCGTTTGGATAGCCCGTGGAGGTGGACTGGTCGGAGTGCGCGAAAGTTGATTGGGACACCAACTGACCCGCTATGCAAAAGAAGAAAATATATATTAGTGGCATCGATTTTGAGAGTGTTCAATGTTCTGAAATGCAGGGTCCAACCGAAAGGAACATTAAAAAATCAAATGCAGACTCCATTTGAGTCCATGCGTTTTATCAATATGTCCGAAGTCCAACTGAGTCCGACTGATTTCTTTCTTTGAACGTATATCTTGGGATTCTTTGTCATTGTGTATCTTGCGCAGTGAGCCTGCTTTCACAACTTAACAGTGGCTAACCTCGCTTTTTGAACCAAAAAGTTGCAGGTCGGAGAAAGCCAGAGCGTCAAAGGCTTCATCGCGACGAGTGCGAGCAGAGGAGTAGCCGGTGAAGAAGATACGATGGAAGGAGAGAACTCGAGTCCCAGCTACATGGATCACCACCCTTGCTCCATAGTTAGGCTAGCGAGGATAGCGTTCCTCAAGTGCTTTGGATTAGATTTCACATCAGAGGATTCTTCCTTTAAAAGACACAGAAGATGATGTTGCATCGGTGGTTGATTTTTGATGTCTTAACTCATTATTCGGGACCATTAGACCATCGCCAACCGCGTGTACATGAGGTCGTAGATGTGTAATCTTCACGAAATTAGTTGTGAAATCAGTTTTTACCTGATCAATTGAGACTGTATATAAGATAAAATGCATTGACTAAATTCAAGATCAACTTGGAGATTGACTGTAGGAGGGTTACGGATACTCTTGTCCTTATGGAATGTTTCTTGTGTAGACCCGTCAAAACAAAAGGTTGGGTCGAAAATGGTCCAATCTGAATTGACCTATTAAACCGTTTTGACTCATTTGCATGTAATACAAATCTAGTGATCATAAAATTATACAAATCTAAATATTATAATCAAATTTAGAAAAATCTATACTCAAACTTAGGTGAGAGCATGGAGCAAGTAAGCGTGAGATCAAGTGAGAGGAATAGAAAGTTATAGAGGTGGCTTGGGTCTAAAAAAGTTGTAAACTTATTTAACATATACATTATTTTGGTTTGGTCATTTTAAATCTATTTATAATCAATTTTTTGAATATAACTAACAAATATACTAACTTAGCCCATCAGATATGGGTTATAGTATCAAATATGGGTTAATAAATGGATCTATAACCCATTTTGACAGATCTATTTCTCATGTAGGCTCATATAACTAAAACAAGATGGGCCATTGTACATGTGAAAAGTTAGTGGCAAATTCGGGACAATTGGGATGCTCGCGATATTTCTAGTACTCGATCAATTCAATCAAGTGTCATCGTCTCTTGTCCCATTCGCGTCGGATAAATTCTAGAGTAGCCCCACAAGAACACACATATACAGTGATTCGAATTTAGGCTTTGAGAAGCACGTTTACCACCTGAGCGACTCCTTGAGATTGGTAGATATGGACATAATTCAGGAATTAGATTGTTAAATGGATGTACGTAACGTCATAATTCGATTAAGCAAGCTTGGTGATATGAGGGTTAGGAGCCGGGTAAGACCTAGGAATGAGTCCAGAGCAAACCAAAAGGCAAATATACCATTGTTCTAGTGGTAGCAACAACATACAAAAGCATGCCCATGTCAAATTTTGCATTTACCGAAATCGATGAGACCTTAGGAACTTAATATTTTGAAAAACTCGATTTTCTGTTTGAGGATGTATACATAATTGGCCGGACATGCAGGTATATGTGTACATGTTTAAATTTCTGTATGTGATTTCTCGTTGATGATTAATGTGTTGGAGGATGAAGCCAAATATTATTATTAAGGGCTTTTTTGTCTTTTCTATTAATTTTGCTTTTAGGTTAAAAGTTACACTTTATATATCAGCTATTGATAGAAGCTAGCTGTCAAGCGCTGAGAAGAAAATAGAGAGAAAAGAAAAGAGAGAAGAAAAAGTGAGTTTTTTCTTTGTGAGTCTTCTCAATCTCTTTGTGCCCCGATCTTGAAAGAAGATCATCATTGTATTCCTACTTTCTTCGAAGTCTAGTGGATTCGCAGAGTGCCTCTGCGTGGAGACGTAGCCTAGGTTTGGGTGAACTTCGATAACAAATTCTCTGGTGTGTTCTTTCAATTCTGTTCTTTCTATTATTATATTCTGCTAGTAAGGATCGTTTGCTTGGGTTATTTTTTTGGAATCGGTGTATGGTTCCCAACAACTTTTATCAAAGCTTGGTTGGTTAATCGAGAACATTGAGGATTTTTTGGTGACGTTTGATTGAAAGCAAACAATATGGCAAAAGATAAAATCAGGATCGATAAGTTTGACGGGCAGGATTTCGGATGGTGGAAACTCCAAATCGAGGATTATCTTTATCAGAAAGATCTCTATACACCACTTAAGGGTTGGAAACCCGAACTCGCGGAAGTGGATCTGACAGCATAATCGGGATGGAAAATTCTTGAATGAAAGGCATTAGGTGCGATTCGTCTAGGGTTGACGAAAAAGACAGGGTACCACATCGCGAAAGCAAAAACTGCAAAAGAAGCCATGGATATACTTACAAATATATATATGAGAAGCCGTCCACATCAAATCAAGTAATTTTGCTGAAAAAGTTGGTTAATATGAAGTTATATGATAGAGGTTCCGTGGCAGAGCATATTAATAGTTTCATGCAAGTCACCGGTCAGTTGGAATCCGTAGGCATATATCTGGATATAAAGCTTCAAGCTTTATTATTTTTATGTTCTCTTTCGAAAAGCTACAACACCGCAATGCAAGGAATTTCAAGCACCATGAAGGATGATTTGACTCCGGATGATGCTGTGAGCAGTATCATGGATGAAGAGATGCGAAGGAAAGTTTCAGGTGGAAATAATTTTTCGCCATCTATATCTTCCACGGCACTAGTAGTGGAGAACCGTGGGAGAAGTAAAAGCAGAGGAAAATTCAACAGGCGTGGCAGGTCACAATCAAGGGGAAAAAGAGAGGTTGCAAAAGACGAGTATCGGTTTTGTTACCAGACTGGACACCGGAGGTTTCAGTGTGAAGCCTACAAACAGAAGCAGCGGGATGAGAATCAAGGAGCTAATATGGTTAGCGATGAACCTTCGTTAGAGAACTTATGTTTATCTGCAGGGTATGACTTGACGACAAATCAGTGGTTTATTGATTCCGGTGCTTCTTTCCATTGCTCCTCGTAAAGAGACATCTTTGCTGATTATGCCAGTGGAGATTTTGGGCAAGTGGTTGTGGGAAACGACCACATGTGTCCGATTGTTGGAAAAGGAACTGTGATTGTAAACGTCTCAGATGGAAGACATCTAGTTTTGCGTGAAACTAGACATATCCCAGAATTAAAAAAAAAATTCTGATCTCAACTAGTAAACTTGACCAAGAAGGTTTGGTAATAACTTTTGGATCTGAAGAGTGGAAGATAACTTCAGGGGCAACAGTAGTAGCAAAGGGAAAGCATACGGGTACACTTTACCTTCTCTAGGGAGATAATATCAGTGATATGGTTACAACTATAGTGGCTACAAGTAATTTGTCTACTCTTTGGCATTATCGTTTGGGACATCTTGGTGAAAATGGTGTAAAGCAATTACACTCAAGGAAATTACTTCAAGGTTTGCAGAAAGTTGAGTTAGATTTCTGTGAGAGTTGTATTTATGGAAAACAAAAGGTAGTAAGCTTTCAGTTGAATGGGCGACGGAATAAAGGTAAAAAATTAGAGTTGGTTCATACGGATGTGTGGGGACCGGCTCAGGAACTCTCTTATGGTGGTAAGAGATATTTTGTCACATTCATTGATGATGCGACAAGGAAGACTTGGGTCTATGCTCTTAGAGAAAAATCAGAAGTATTCGGGATGTTCAAAATGTGGAAGGCTATGGTAGAAAAAGAGATAGGCTATCAAATTAAAGCTCTAAAGTCTGATAATGGTGGTGAATACACCAGCAAGGAATTTGCAGAATACTTGAGTCGAGAAGGCATACACGATTTAAAGACTGTTCCTAGAACTCCTCAAGAGAATGGTGTAGCTGAGACAATGAACATGACTATTTTAGAGCGCGCAAGATGCATGAGACTAGATGCGGGTCTTCTGCTACACTTATGGGCTGCTACAATTGATGCAGCTGTTTATCTGATTACTAGGAGTCCATCTAGTGCACTTGATGGAGAAATACCGCAGGAGTAGTAATCAGATAAAAAGATTAATTATTCATATTTAAAATTTTTTGGCTGTATTGCGCATGCTCTTATTGATAGGGAGGACAGGAAGAAGCTTGATGCTAAGTCCCAGAAGTGCGTCTTTATCGGATATGGTGGCGATGAGTATGGTTATAGGCTTTGGGATTATGAGAATAACAAAGTCATCTGCAGTCGGAATGTGGTATTCCATGAAGAAAAGATGTACAAGGATCATCAGATAGAGCATGAGAAGGCAGTAGATGTAACGACCCGGTCCGACGAGGGCGGGGAGTGGTCGCCGGGGCCAGAGGGCCTGGACAAGGAGCGGCTCCTGGCAGGCTTCTAGGATGGCAAGGGGGGCATGTCTCTTGTCCCACATCGCTTAGGGAGGAGTCTTGGGCTAGTTTATAAGGCTTGGGTTCTCTACTCTGTGTAACGCGTTTTAAAGCCGTGAGGGTCAATGGGCCCAAAGCGGACAATATTACACAGTGTAGACCCCGGGTCTCTTTGAAATGGTATCAGAGCCGACTCCCGACCGCGTGTGGGGCCACAGCGAGGACGCTGTGCTCGAAGGAGGGAGAATGTAACGACCCGGTCCGACGAGGGCGGGGAGTGGTCGCCGGGGCCAGAGGGCCTGGACAAGGAGCGGCTCCTGGCAGGCTTCTAGGATGGCAAGGGGGGGCATGTCTCTTGTCCCACATCGCTTGGGGGAGTCCACGGGCTAATTTATAAGGCTTGGGTTCTCTCACTACGTAACGCGTTTTAAAGCCGTGAGGGTCAATAGGCCCAAAGCGGACAATATTACACATGTAGACCCAGGTCTTTACAATAGAACCGAATATGTTGAGTTGGACACAATACACTGTGAAAATAGTTCCAACGAATCAAAGTGCACCTGAAGGGGAGGTTCAAGATGAACATATTATCAATGAAGAGGCAGTTCAAGAAGAACGCAGTGATCCAGAACAGATTAACGACCCTAAAGTACCTGTCTTGAGGAGGTCTACATGCGTGAGAGAGCCAAAGGTAATTTTTTATCTATCAGCTAATATTGTTCTGAGCCATATCTTATATACAGATTCGGGAGAACCGGAGACTTATGATGAGGCAAAGAAAGACACATCTCACATGCAGTGGGAGCGTGCTATGAAAGACGAGATGAGCTCGTTACTTCAGAACAAAACTTGAGAGTTGACCGAGTTGCCTACAGGTAAAAAGGCTCTGTTAAATAAGTAGCTGTACATGATAAAAAATGAAGCAGATGGTAGTATCAGATACAAAGCGAGACTTATGGTCAAGGGCTTTTCTCAGAAAGAAGGAATTGACTACTCCGAAATATTTTCACCGGTAGTAAAGATGACATCGATCAGAGTTTTGCTGAGTATAGTTGCGGTGGAGGATCTTCATCTCGAGCAATTGGATGTGAAAACGGCGTTTTTGCATGGGGACCTAGATGAAGAGTTATATATGATGCAACCTAAAGGTTTTGAGGTCAAAGGTAAAGAGCACATGGTTTGTCACTT